GTCTAACCAGGAGCTCATGTTTCAAACACGCCTCAATGTTTCACCAACAGACAAAACACTGTCAGATCCAGCCTCTGAACTGGAATGCTCACAAAATAAGTAGAAAATAAAGTTTAAAACGTGCCACATTCAGTAAAATCCCTCTTTCCTGTTCCTTGGAGGCAGATTTCTGTAAAACACAAACCTGGTGTTATAAGTTCCCCTTTATTTAAGGAGCCCTTCTGATTATTATCTCTAAATGACGTTAAACAACTTCCAGCTGCCACAGAATAAATGTTTTAGAGACAAATACATCTTCAAAGTTTTTTTATTTTTTGTTTAATTAGTTTTAAGGTTTTGTTTAGCATCTTTCCACTTTTCCCTACTTTGTTCAAAACCCCAGCTGTTTGACTAACCTGTCAGACTAAAGCTGTAGTCTCCTGTTTTCCCAGCAGGGGACAGACTTTCATTAAACTCCAGCACAGCCAGTCTGAATAAATGTGCTGTTCAGCACTCAAACACCACAAATAAAGACAAAGTTTAAGCTCTGTTCCTCTTTCTAGCCCTGTTTTATTCTTGTTTTTCTAAAAAAAACGTCCTTAAAAGACTCAGAGGTGTCCACAGTGAAGCCTTCAGGGTCTGAGGCTGCTGAGGAGTCTCACCTGTTCCCCTCCGCTGGTTTAATGTGGAGGGAAAGCAGTCAGCAGGTGGGGCTAAAGGCCCAAATCCAGATAAACAGAGCAGTGACGGTGGACCGGGAGCCCAGGACGTTTCCATTTTCTGCTTCATGGGCAAAGCTTTAAAGAAAAAGTCTAAACCAGATTAAAGAAACAATATTTTGGGGCGTTTTTCATTTTAAAATTTTTTTGGACATCCACCTTTCAAAGGACATTTATGTTGTCCTGTAACTCAAATAGTATAAAACCTTTCACTATGACGTAGTTTATATTTTTTATAGGGGGTATACTGTACATAGACAACGTAACAGAAAATATATTTTCTATGTTAAATATATTTTTTAAGCCTATCTAACATTGTAAAGCTTCTCGCATGTCATTTTTAAAAAAGGTATGAAAGAATAACATGTTTGAGTATGGTTCAACATGATATTTAGCTAACTTTCTGTCCTCCAGTCTAACCAAGGATGTCTTTAAATTTTCTGGGCTGACTCTCCCTCCACACGGCTAACCCGGAGCTCTTAAGTGAAAAAGAAAACAGACTTAGTTTTAAAACCGAGTACAAAGCATAGCGCTTTTAATTATCCAAACAGTAACACACAAGTTATTTTTATACTAACTGTTACGCCCTGGCTCGGTGGGTGCAACACAGTGGCAGACGACAAAACATTTAGCTTAACCAAATAGTCAGTCTCACTGACCTGACGTTCGACCACAAAAGGCCCACTATACTGAGCCTGCAAAGTAGACCCAGGAAGCAGCAGGAGAACAAGCACTCTCTCCCCCGGATAAAACACTCTGTGCTTAGCTTTTCTGTCAAACCTTTGTTTCATTTTGTCTTGGGCTTTGCCTAAGTTTGACTTAGCAAGTTCACAAGCCCTCTGGAGTTTGGACCTGAAACTACACACAAACTGCAAGAGGTTAGATTGACAAGGTGACACTTCTGACCATCCCTCCTTGAGAAGTTTCAGTGGTCCCCGTACCGTCTGGCCAAACACCGACTCAGCTGGACTGAAAGCTGGTGAACATTCGGCCATATTAGATGGGGAAGAAAGGGGGAGAAGGGGGGGAGAAGAAAAAGGAGGGGGAAAGGGAAAAAGGAAAAAAGAGAGAAAAGAAGAGAGAACCGAAAACATGCGGCCTTGTCTCTCAGTTTAATTGATTTATTAGCTCAAGAAAGAGTAGTTTTTAAAATTACGGTAATTGTTAAGACTGGACCGGGATTCGAACCGGCGACTCTAGTAGGTGGTGCGTTCAAGGTGAACGAAATGCGGAACTGAGTCTGATTGTTAATAAACATTAACTTAATATTATCAATGTAATGGCTTAATATAAGCAGCCAATTATAAACACGGTATGTTTAGTGGTGGCAAACAATAAAAAGTGAGCAAGAAAAAAGTTTTAAATATTTAATAAAAAGAGATTATTCATGGAAACTGAACACACAACATAGATATCAAGGGGAATTAGCTCAAATGGTAGAGCGCTCGCTAAGCATGTGAGAGGTAGTGGGATCAATGCCCACATTCTCCAAAGACAGTCTTTATATAGCTTATTGTCATAGTGATGAGAAATGTAATATTGTGTCTACTCTGTAAGTCGCTTTGGATAAAAGCGTCTGCCAAATGCATAAACATAAACAGATATAAACTTTAAATAAGAACTTCAATTATGTAAAAATGTATAACATTTACAGGCTTACAAAGAACTTAAATGAGAGTTTAACATTCAATTACAACATCATTTACACAATTAACTCATCTTGAGAGCAATATGTTAGAAGAATTGATTCACATTACACTTATAGGCTCATACACTAATACTATTGGGTTTTACTATACAACAATAAGTCAATTATTGTACTGTTTACAGTCTCTGTTGATTTTAAGTGTAGGTTGGCATATAAAATGAAGCCTTTTCCAATAACTAAATAAATCAATAAACAAAGAACATTGCTCGCGTAAGCCGGCTGAGGGCAACGACTGAAAGTTCCATCACTGAATGAATAAATTAATGAATGAATGAATCGGGAAAACATCTTCATTCGACAGATTTCATACACACAATATACAGGCGTTGGACAATGAAACTGAAACACCTCTCATTTTAGTGTGGGAGATTTCATGGCTAAATTTGACCAGCCTGGTGGCCAATCTTCATTAATTGCACATTGAAGCAATAAGATCAGACTGTGAAGGTCCAATTAGCAGGGTAAGAGCACAGTTTTGCTCAAAATATTGCAATGCACACAGCATTATGGGTGACACACCAGAGTTCAAAAGAGGAAAAATTGTTGGTGCACGTCTTGCTGGCACATCTGTGACCAAGACAGCAAGTCTTTGTGATGTATCAAGAGCCACAGTATCCAGGGTAATGTCAGCATACCAACAAGAAGGACAGACCACATCCAACAGGATTAACGGTGGACGCAAGAGGAAGCTGTCTGAAAGGGATGTTCGGGTGCTAACCCGGATTGTAACCAAAAAACATAAAACCACGGCTACCCAAATCACAGCAGAATTAAATGTGCACCTCAATTCTCCTGTTTCCACCAAAACTGTCCGTCGGGAGCTCCACAGGGTCAATATACACGGCCGGGCTGCTATAGCCAATCCTTTGGTCACTCGTGCCGATGCCAAACGTCGGTTTCAATGGTGCAAGGAGCGAAGATCTTGGGAAGTGGACAATGTGAAACATGTATTGTTCTCTGATGAGTCCGCTTTTACTGTTTTCCCCAAATCCGGGAGAGTTACGGTGTGGAGAAGCCCCAAAGAAACGTACCACCCAGACTGTTGCATGCCCAGAGTGAAGCATGGGGGTGGATCAGTGATAGTTTGGGCTGCCATATCATGGCATTCCCTTGGCCCCATACTTGTGCTACATGGACGTCACTGCCAAGTACTACCGAACCATTCTGGAGGACCATGTGCATCCAATGGTTCAAACATTGTATCCTGAAGGAGGTGCCGTGTATCAGGATGACAATGCACCAATACACACAGCAAGACTGGTAAAAGTCCATGTTATCTTTTCATCCTTTACATAAATAACACACCAGCAAGCATTTAAAGCTTGCAACATAGCAAATTGTTTCTGCCTGGTTTCAAACCAGGGACATTTTGCATGTAAAGCAAATGTGATGACCAATACACTACAGAAACTGTGGTCTGATGGTTAAAAAGCACCAAGACATCCACACAACACTGTCTGATAAAGTCACACATGTGGATCCATTATTACAGACATCAAACTTTAATCT